ATAGGAGATAAGTATACAAGTAGATCACCTTAAGCCACACCACCAAATTATTATACTTGAAAAAAGAAACATGAGTTCACGAGTCACAAGTTAATGTACAACCACTAAATCTAGTAATTCAACTACAAGCCTCTCCTTGAAAACAAAATGATTCAGCAAAAGACTTTGGCTAAATTCAATACAATAACACAATAGGAACTTAACTAATATTTTAAAATCAACAATTTTATTTTAATTTATTTTCAACACAATAACACAATAGGATGACTATAACGAAATTTTCATCTCCCATTACCTCCAAAAAATGTTAGCTACTCAGCTTACTTTGCTATTTAAGAAATGTTGATCATGAAATTAAAAAATTAAACTTAAACGTAATGTTGATCAGTAAATATGTAATTTCACATTTGGAGAAACCCACTTTTATCTCTAAAAAATTAAACTTAAACGTATAAATGACTATCATTTTGTGCAATTTCCACTTTAATAGGACTTTTGGGTTCATAAAAAAAAAAGAGGACTAAACCATTTACAAGATCATATTTTGAGATTTATTGGTATTTTACCCTTAAATTATTAAATTCAATTTGTCAAAATAATGGAATTTTTATTAATTATTAACCTTTTTCTTTGTTAAGCATAGTTTTTTATTTTTTATTATTATCGGCAAGTATATTTGTTGTTAGTCTTATTTTAAAGGCATTGGTGATAACCCTTAATAGCGTACTAATTTTTTTTTAAAAAAATTGATGAATGTATAAAAGTTCTTCAAATTTTATAAAATTAGCATACAATCTAAAATCAATAGACCGATAAGAATAATGTAAGAATTTTAAAGTCCTTAAATTTTTTGGAAAGATTTTTAAATTTATTGGATCAGACATTTAATTTCTAGCCTATTTTGAAAAGCGACATTTTTTTTGATTTTTTGACTTTCTAAAAAAAAATATAGAAAAAAATAAATAAATAAAGAGGTGATATAATCTAAATAAGTCGATAAATTAGTAAATTAATTTTTTTTTTTTAATATCTTCCTAAACAAGTTCTATATATGAGTGGGTCGAGGTGATAGGTTGCATTTGGTGTAGCTTTGAATGCTATTTAAAATAATGCTAACCCAGAATACACAATGTCGATGGGCACACCTTGTCATAGAAGTTTTGGGTCCACTTTGTGGATGTTGTGCCATTATTTATTTATTTATTATTATATATTTTTATGAACTTATACTAACCTATATTTATGGGGAAAGAATAAGAGGATTTGATTACCATTTTTTTATTATAAAGAATTTACCCTAGGTGGACGTTGTCCCATTATTTATTTATTTTTTATTATATTTTTATGAACTTATCCTAACCTATATTTATGGGGAAATAATAAGGGGATTTGATTACCATTTTTTTATTATAAAGAATTACCCTAGCATGTATTTAAGGGAAAGAATATGGGGATTTTATTACCCTTTTTAACCGTATGGCCTATATCTAAGGAGAAAGGAAAATGGAATCACTCCCAACGTCTTATACGGGACTTAAATTCACAACTTACGATTTGAATGGTTTATTTTATATAATTTTATGGTAATATTAGTTATAAAAAAAAAAAATTGATTCCACAATTGTAATCAAATAATTTTATTATATTTGTCTTTATAAAACTAGGGCAATATTTTTGGTTTTTAGAAAAGGAGAATTAGTGAAATATCTCTCTCTAATTTTGGGTAATAAGCAGGGCCGGCTGTGGCCTAAGGACAGTAAGGCCTGAGCCTTAGGTCTCAAAATTTTGGCCTAAAAATAGGGCCTCCAAATTTGATAAAATATTATAGGCTCAATGTTTTTTTTTTTTTTTTTTGGATCAATTTAAAGGGTCTCAAAATATTTTATTGGGTTCATATATGGTTTAGTCCATATTTATTTATAGGTGTAGTTTGGTCTATATTTTTTTATAAGTGTAGTTTGGCCCATATTTATTAAAATGAATATATATATATATATATAAAAAGTGTTTGGGCTCAAAAAAATAATACATATAATATATGGGCCCAAAATTTTTTTTACCTTCTTTATCTATTAGATTTTAGTGGAATAAATAATTTTGTTCAAATTTTTTT